TGAACTGCTTATTTTGAGTTTTCAATCCAGCGGGATGCCCTAACTTTTTCCTAAGTCGTCTTCTTGGTTCGACTTAGCAGGCTTTTCATTTTTGGCATTTTTGGAACAATGTGTATGACAATTGTTCCTTTGGTTTGAACAGAATTATGATTGCCATATCCTTTGGCTATTGAGGGGTAACCATTATGCTCTTGGATTTTTTATGACGACTTCAACACTTCTTGTTGTGTGTGAAGAAGAGCGTATGGTTTAACCGTTTAGGAGTTTGAAATGATTCTCTGGAATGTGTATTCGATTTAACTGAAAACTACCATGCCCCTGGTTCAGATGAAAAGGGTTTTTTTGTTCAAAAAGAAACTCCAACTTCTAGGCTTGAAGGGGTTAACAAGGGATTAACTTCCTTATGTCTTCAGTGTTTGGGAATTTGAAGCAATGCTTATACATCGTTAGCAGAGTTTTATTCGAAAACATACCAATAACAACTATGGGTATTTTGTTCTTATCGCTATCCCTCCATTATTTGCTAAAACAAAAGTTTTGATAAAGAAAAAATGGAAAGAAGAAACAGTGATATATTTTTTCTTTTTTTTTTTGCAATATAAATGGAAAAATGAGTGAACACAAATAGATTGATTCAAAACAAATGCATGTTCATTTTGTTAATATTACCATTAAAATTAACAATGTTTAAATGAAAACAAACATTTAGCAATCTAGAAGAAACTGCAGATGCAAAATTATAATGATCTGGCGAACTCTTAGCACTGAGGAAGCTTTCTCATGCTTGATTCACTGACTATCAATTTTTTCCAATCCAAAGGTTGAGATCTTCATGATCTCTAGAATTGTTATGAAATCCCTATGAATATTCAAACTCTCTATAAAAGGCAGTCTTTCCATACCTACTCCCTACTTCTTCTGATCTTCCACTTGCATGGGTGGCAATATTGCAACTCCAAGGCGTTACTTCAGTATTTTCACAGGGGAATGGTGACATCATATTTGCAAGTTATCTTCAGCTTTCCTTATGATATAAGATCTTAAGGGGCTTCTAAGTTCCCTTGTTATCCTCACTGATTGGCTTCATATCCAAAGCATTTGCACTCAAAGTTTCAATCTGAGAGACTGGTGACTTGGTGCCAATTAATCTTTACACTTTGAACTAGAAATCCCCGCATTTTTTGACAGAATGCCCCATCATTCCAGTATGGTACTCACATTTTACCTTTGGATGGTCCTCTTCAAATACTAGGCTCTTGTTGTCAATCAATTGTTGGACATTGGCTTTGAAAGCCTTGCAATCTTCACATTTATCATTAGGATCATACTCAAGCGAGTACGATTGTGGCACGGTCTTGATAGGTTCATAAAATACTAGTGAATTCTGAATCAGGTGGAACAAGACTTCACCATACGGTATTGGAACTAGATCTATAGGGGTACTCCTCCTTTCCAGGTTATTATGGGGTCGAGTTTGATTCTGGAAGTGTTGATTCAGAACTTGAGGAGAAACAAACAGAGGCGGTTGAAGTGGATGCCTGACAGGTAGTGATTGAGGGTAGCGTACTGGTTCTGCGACTGACTTCCCTTTGCTAGAATTTGGAATATATTTGCTAAAGGTTACCACTTTTCTTGAAATTATCACCAGAACCTTGCCATTGTCAGCACTAGCCTTCGGAGTTTCAACATCTTTCTGGTTGTTAAAGGTTCCAAAGAACCTTGGGAATCCTCTAATGCTTCCATTCTATGACTTTACGACCAGGATGTCTATATTTGTGTCATTTTGCATGATAGTTAGGATCTTGTCATCAATTAGTTCCTAAACTTTGAATTTGAAAGCAAAATAGTTCTCACTCGTATGTCCAACAGAATTGGCATGGAAACCACATTTAGCATTCAAATTGTACCAAGGTTTGGACTTTACACATGGTGCTTACTTCAGCTCCCTCGGCACCACAATACCACTCTGAGTTAGGTAAGGCAACAACTGAGTATACATCATTGGGATAGGTTGATTATCCTGCAGGGTATACTTGCGGTAAGGCGTATTTCGATGTTGATTATGTTAGTGAGGAACCTTTTGAGGTATATGTCGAGTGTCACTTCCATGAAGAAATTTCTGAGCTGTAAGACTCGCCACAGGTGGTTGTCTTTGGAAAATGGTGCCACCATACATCTAAATAGAGGTAACCAAGTTTGATGCAACAATTGATCTGGTGTTTCTCTCCTTCTTCAACAAATCTTGCAAGATGTATAGGACCAAATCCATTTGACTCTTCAATTGGTTGACTTCTTCCTTCCACTGATCCCTAACCTCGCTGAATCTCTTATATAACTCTCTGATACATACTTCAAGCTCTGAACGCATGTCAGGTAATCAGTTTGATCTACGAACAGGAGAGATGAAATGAGTTTATGATGAAAATGCAATGCATGGTAATGCATGTAATAATGCAAATGCAACACAATGTTTTATGTTATGAATAAACCACAGGTAAATAACACAAGGGTTAAAAGGATAGTCAGGCATGGTTTTGATGTCTACCCAACAATTCCCCTCACAGGGTGATTCTAAGGCTTTTGGATAAACAGGTTCTAGAGATCAAAGCTCCATTTGACGATAATATCAACGTAGCACAGGCAGTGCCAAGTCGATATTATATCCAAAAGAAACTACTCCAGGTAAGGTCTTTGGGCCACTTTCCAAGACAGGTGCTTGGCAAGTTAAGCACCATACAACCATCGATTCGGAGGAGTCCAAACAACGGGTAAGGGTTCCTAAAGGTTCCTAGAGTCTCCGGTCCATATTGGAAAATGCTACGAGCAATACATAGGGATGTACACCAATAACACCCCCACAGGACCTACTCTAGGCGGGGTCTTTGCATAGACTAACAAGACAGGGAGTCTTGAAAGTCTGGCCGCTACATAATACCCTTCTAATCCAAATGTTTTCTCAGACCTGTGTAATGAGTCTCGCTCATAGTAACACATCATCCTTGAAGATCCTAACATTACTGCATCCGAATAAAAATAGAATATATAACAATAAACATAAGAGAAAAAAGAAGGAAGCAAAATAAAAAACATAAACACGCAAAACACAAAGAACTAAACTATGGTGGACTCGCTTAGGGGAGTTTTCCCCAGTGGAGTCACGAACTATCGTGATGCAAAAATTACAAAGAAGGAGTTTTGTTTTTAGTTAGTTGAGTTCCCCTCAGTCTTAAAACCTCGTGCGTACATACCCCCTAAGTGCAATAGGGAATTCAGAACTTTGTAGTTCTTCTAAAAAAGACCAAGAGTTTATTGGTTGATTTAGTAGAATGATGTGTTATACATTTCAAACATTTAAACCTCGACTTGTTATGTTCGTATGAGAGGCTAAGTCTCGTGTATTCGTTTCGTATTGAAATGGCTAACACACATTCATTTGTGAAAAGGTTTTCAAAAGAAAAGTCAAAGGGAAAAAAGTTTGAATGAGTTGAGTTGTTTTTATAGGACACGAGTGTTTGAACTACCAAAGTAGGTATTTGGCACCCACACACTTAGGAAAAGATTAGGTAGGTTCCTAACTTATCCATTTAGTCCTATTTATGAAAAAGTGAGACAAGTTATTCGGACTTATTTTATTTAAAGTGTCATGGTCGGATCACAATTAAAGAAAGACACGCAAGGGAACATGTCTAAGGTTAATTTAGGAAAAGGGAAGGTAGGGACATATCTCTTTTATTAAATCATATGGTTGATTAAGAAAAAATGATTTTTCATTTTAAGAACGACTTGACGTTGGATCAAGCTTTGAGTTTATTATGAAAGAGTTTTAAGATGAGATCGATGAGTCGATTGTGATTGCAAAGCAAACTCGACTTATGAATTTGGTTAAGGGCTCAGTATATGGACCAAGATGCGGGGGTTTGATTGATTCAGGTGTGTGAAGTGAACAATTATGAATAAGGCATACAAGCATGGAAGTAAAGAAAGCAAGTAAACTTATTACAAGTCCATCGGGATGGAGATACACCTTTTGAATGGGGAATAAGAGTAAGCAATAAACAATAAGCCCATACAAGGTGGCACACACACAAACATAAATGATAAGGCAAATAAATATGAATCCTAATTTCTAAGTGATACTTAGTATAGTGGATCAGCCTTCTAAACGACCAAATGGAACAACTGATCGAATAGATTATACTCTAAGAATATTCATGATCAAGCGTGCAAGTGTGCATGTGTGGTTGTTTGCGATGCTTAAAAGCTTTATCGACTTACGATATAAAAATGTCTCGCAATCGAGTATTAATTTTTTGAAAGATTTTGTGTAAATATGATGATGAATAATTAAATAAAATAAAGCAATGAAGTAATTACTATCTATTACATTACATGGAAAGGGGGTACATAGTTTATGAATAGGGATGGAACCAACCAAAACAACTACACAAATAAAATCTAAATTAAATCAAACAATACAATCCAAAAGCTAAATAAAACAATTAACTAAATTAAATAAAATTATTTGATAAAATTAATTAATTAATTATATTAAATAAAAAAATTTAAGAGAGATAATTTTAAATTGCATATTTATAATATAGAACAAAATAACTAAAAGAAGAAAAAAAAAAGTAAAACAAATATGAATAAATAAAAAGATTAAGTTAATGGGTTGAAAAATAAGCAAATTCGTCCAAGACCCATTCGAAAAAAGCCCACGTTGTTGACAAATCTGGTGTAATTGGTCCACGCGTGTACTGATCCTGGAAATCATCATCATTGGATCTGACTTTGACTTCAGATACGCCTGATGAAGGATGATGAGGGTATTGGTGGACAGTAAGGATGTGTGATTGTATGCATGGGATCGGACATGATGTCAGCACCAGCCGGTGACACCTGTCCCACCTGAAACAACAAACGATAACAAAAGAACAAAAGAACCCCTTTTCCCTCATAAAACGTTCGACCCTCTCCCTCTCGGTGGTCTCTCTCTAAACATGTCCCACCGGAAAACTGAACCGGCTGGAGAAGGCGGCAGCGCACGGCGGCGGCCACTGTCTTCTCCGGCGAGCCTCAACCAAATCTCTCAATCTGATGAAGCAAGACCCCCAGAATTCAAATCTGGTGTCTATTTTGGAAAAGGAGCAACAGATCTTCCTAAATCTACAAGGGGAAACGAAACACTAGGTGTTCAAACTCAAACAAAATTAGTAAATCAAGCTATGAGGATGACGCGGACGATGATGATGAAGATGAATCCGAAACGAGAATGAAGAAAACGCGACAAGGAAGAGAAAATCGAAGATCAGAAGAACTCTCAACCTTGCGCTAAACCCAGGTATGAACAAAAATGGCTCCGTCCTCTTCCTCTACTTTTCTTCTATGGTTTGTCCTCTGTTGTATTGCTTAGTTGTCTGTTGAGCATCGTAGGCGGTTTGGAGGTATAAAGTTGTGAGAGTTTTTTTGTGTTGGTGAGTTTTGCAGTGGGTATTTAACAGGGTTTTAGCAAAGTTCTCGGTGGGTTATTGTTCAGTGAAGATGATGTTGAGGTCTGCAGGTTTTGCGATGATGAGAGCTATATGTTTTGGTGTTGTAAAGAGGTCGTATTGAGCATCATTTTAGGTGGTTTTGCGGTGTATTTGAGTTGAGATATTGGAATGGAATCTGGGCAGAGTTTTGTTGCGTTTTCGTTGTTATTCTCTCCCCCTTCGTGATGAGAGGAATGGTGTGGTCTTATAGTGAAGTAAGAGGGTAGAATAGAGAATTTGGTGAAGAAAAAATGGGTAAGAATGAGAGGAGAGGGATCTGTTATCAGTGGTGAGTGGAGCTGGAGGGTAAAAGGGACAATGATAATTCTGAGCTTTGTCTGTAGCGAATCAGGACAAACATTCTAGAATTCAAGTGGCCCCTGATGACATCACCCCCTACTGTAAACCAAAACTTTTCATGATTTTCGTTCCTGAGAAACTTGAAATATAACCTATGACTATTACTTGTTTGTCAAGTCTCAAAATTCTTTCAAATTTGTCCTTCTACAATCCTTTGAATGCCATTTCTGTGTGGTTCCGGTATTTTGATGCATGTCTTTTGCCGCATAGCCTTGTAGCAGAATACTCCTGATGATGGCTGTTTGTGGGAATAGTATGCTTAAGGCCGACATGAGGCTAGTCAAAATTAAGTGGTAAGTGAAGTAGTATGATTTAGTGTTTGAATGTGTATGGTTTATAACATGCTGGTGCTACAAATGTATGGACTGAATTGAACTTGATTTGTGCTAATTCTTCTTTGTTTTACAGCCTGGTCATGATGAAGATGATGATATTGGTGCAGTAGATTTAGGGTGAATGCAGGGACAATTGAACAGGTTAAATGATAGAACAAGGACACGGTATGACAATGTTTGAATTTGGTTTCATTTTCCTTGTGATATTTGTGTGGCCCGGTACATAAAGTACTTGTTGATATCATGTGCAATAGAAGAATGTGTTCTTGAAGAAGGTACTAGCGGCATGAAACCAAACACAAAGGCTTTGGAGGATTTGAATTTGAGAACAACCTTCCTGTGTAGATTAATACTTGGCAATGCCATTTATTCCTAACTTGATTTGTAATTCAAAAAGAATTTCCTTTGTAATGACTTGAAGTTTCATTACAAGTTTCTTTATAATTGTTAAAATTAATGTGTTGTAACCACCACTATCTTTGGGAAGCATTATGAGAGAATTGTAACCATCACATTATAATGATTGTCTTTATTTAGATTTATGGTAGAGTTGTATCATTAAAATTGAGAGAACCAAAGAGTCCTCATCTTGATTAGCAACCTATTTGTATTCTCTATCAGTTTCATTCAAGCCTATATAAAGGTTTTGTAATGTTAAGATTAATAGTAAGAAGTGTATGGTGAATTAAAAAAAAAAAAGTTTTTCAATGGTTATCCATTAGTAGAAGCATAATATAAAAAGTGACGAAAAATAGTTTTCTCTGCAGAATCCTGCAATACTAATTTTTCACATACCACCTCTAGAATATCGCCAACAGAGTGGTATCAGAGCTGCAGATCCTTGCAGCTGCAGCAAAAATAACAACAGTTATGGCTTCCACAAACAATCCTTCCGTAACTTACAGCAATGTCAAAGTTCCTCTATTTGAAGGAGAGAACTATGATTTTTGGACTGTTAAAATGGAGACTCTATTCACATCTTTGGATGTTCTAGAGTATGTCAAAAACGGCTATGAAGAACCGGCGCCAACAGAGGCTGAAAAATCAAAAGAAAAGGCTGAAGAATCAAGCCAACGACTTGAAGAATTGAAGAAAAAGAAGATCACAGATGCTGGAGTTCTCAGGATGATTCAAAGAGGGGTATCTCTATCCATCTTCCCAAGGATTATGAGAGCTAAAACATCGAAAGAAGCCTGGAGTATCCTACAACAAGAGTTCGAAGGAGACTCAAAGGTGCGAACGGTGAAGCTTCAATCTCTTAAGAGAGATTATGAAAATGAAAGGATGAAGGAGAACGAGAGCCTGAATGAATACTTCAACAGACTCTCTGAATTGGTGAATCAGATGAAGTCACATGGTGATACGATAGAAGATCGCAGAATTGTTGACAAAATTCTGATCAGTTTGACAGCAAGATTTGACCCAATGGTGGGGGTAATAGAAGAAACCAAGGATCTATCAACCTTGACTGTTCAAGGGTTGATGGGGTCTTTGAGATCCTACGAGCAAAGGATGTTACGACATTCTGAAAAATCAATCGAGAGTGCCTTTCAATCTAAACTCAACATTCAGCCCAACAATGGTGAAATTAAGCCCCAAATACAAACTAGAGGTGAGTCTTCTAGAGGTGGCAGATTTGGAAGAGGCAGAGGCAGAGGTCGAAACTCACGTGGCAGATCTGGAAGAAGCGCAAATGGCGGAAGATGGAATGGAGCATCAAACAAATGGTGCAAAATTTGTAACAGCGGTACTCATGACGAGAAGGATTGTTGGAATAAAGGTAAACCGCAATGCCACAATTGCAAGAGATTCGGGCACCTTCAAAAGGATTGTCGTCTTGCAAATCAACAACATGCTTCGTACGCAGAAGGAGAATCTGATGAAGGAAATTTATTGTTTGCTTGTGAAAAAGCATTGCATGAAGAAGGTAAAATTGTATGGTATTTGGACAGCGGCTGTAGCAACCATATGACCGGACAGAAGGAAGCATTTATAAACATTGATTCTTCATTTGGCTCAAAAGTTAAATTGGGAAATGGAGAACATGTCGTAGTGAAAGGGAAAGGAAGCATTGGAGTCACCACAAAGCAAGGAAGCAAAGTCATACATGACACGCTCTATGTACCGGAATTAGACGAAAATTTTCTTAGCATTGGACAACTTCTGGAGCACGGCTATTCTCTAAACTTTGAGAATAACGAGTGTGGAATTTTTGACTCAGAAAGAAGAAGTGTTGCCGTTGTGAAGATGACTAGCAACAGGAGCTTTCCACTATCTTTTAACTATGAGAAAAATGTAAGCATGATGGCCAGAGAAGAGAATGACTCGTGTTTATGGCACATGAGACTTGGGCATTTGAATTACGAAAGCCTCAAGTTACTCTATCAAAAGAAGATGGTGTATGGGCTGCCAAGAATCGAAGAAAAATCTGATGTGTGCGAAGGTTGTGTGCTTGGCAAACACCACCGGCAACCATTTCCAAAGGAAGGTGCATGGAGAGCTAAACAAGTGTTGGAACTTGTACACACAGATGTGTGTGGCCCTATGAATACTTTGTCTCATGGCAAAAATAGGTACTTTATCTTGTTTATTGACGACTTTACCCGCATGACTTGGGTATATTTCATGAGACAAAAATCCGAAGCGTTTGTAATCTTTAAGAAATTTAAAGCATTAATCAAAAAACAAAGTGGCAGATTTATAAAGATGATGAGAAGTGATCGAGGGAAGGAGTACACCTCAAATGAATTTCATAAATTTTGTGAAGATGAAGGTGTTGAAAGACAGCTCACTGTTGGATATACACCTCAGCAAAATGGTGTATCTGAAAGAAAGAACCAAACCGTGATGGAGATGGCGAAGTCTATGCTACTTGAGAAAGGTTTGCCTAAAACCTTTTGGCCCGAGGCCGTTAACACTGTTGTGTATTTGATGAACAGGTGCCCAACAAAGGCCGTGTGGAAAAAGACTCCATTTGAAGCCTGGAGTGGAAGAACACCGTCGGTGAACCATCTTAAAATTTTTGGGTGTGTTTGCTATGCTCAAATTCCTAAACAAAAGAGGACAAAGCTAGAAGAAACAAGTGAAAGATGTGTCTTTATTGGCTATAGTTCCATGTCAAAGGGATATAGACTTTACAACTTGAAGACAAACAAGGTGATCATTAGCCAAGGTGTTGTATTTGATGAGAACGCTTCTTGGAATTGGGAAGAAGATAAAACGAAGGAGAAAACAGTCCCCGCAATCATATTATAACAACAAAATCCAACAGCTGATAATGAGAAACCAGCTCTATGTACACCAAGTTCCTCATCCTCTCCAAGTTCACAAATTTCAAGTTCATCATCTCCCAACTCAACTCCAATAAAATTGAAGGACTTGAGTGATATTTATGCAAGATGCAACTATTGTGTTGTGGAACCAGAAAATTTTGATGAAGCAATAAAAGAAGATGCTTGGAGGAATGCGATACAAGAAGAAATAAATGCCATTGAGAAAAACAAAACATGACAGTTAGTTGAAAATCCAAATGACAAAGAAGCTATTGGAGTAAAGTGGGTGTATAAATTGAAGCATAATCCAGATAGGTCAATTCAAAGAGCCAAGGCTAGATTGGTAGTAAAAGGCTATGCACAACAGCCTGGAATTAACTATAGTGAAACTTTTTCCCCAGTTGCAAGATTGGATACTGTACGAACAGTTATTGCATTAGCAGCTCAGAAAGGGTGGAACCTGTACCAACTTGATGTGAAGTCGGCTTTCCTGAATGGAGAATTAAAAGAAGAGGTATATGTGCAGCAGCCTCAAGGCTTTGTGACTAAAGGCCAAGAGGAAAAAGTTTACAAGTTGAAGAAAGCTCTTTATGGGTTGAAACAAGCCCCGAGAGCATGGTATAGTGAAATTGACAGCTACTTCATTCAACAAGGATTTGAAAGAAGTCAAAGTGAGCATACCTTGTATGTGAAGCATCAAGGTAAAGATGATATCCTTCTTGTTGCCCTTTATGTTGATGATTTGGTGTATACGGGTAACAACAAGAAAATGGTTAAA